AAATTATTCCCGTTTAATAAAACAAAGTCAGTATCGATATTGAAAGGCATTAATAATTTTATTGATTGTGAAATATCGCCCATGTTTATAGTAATCCCATTTGATAAACAAAGACAGTGTATGATCTCGTTGCAAAAGTTATTTAAAGATCCCTCAAAAAAAAAATAATAAAAAAAATAAGAACAAAAATAAAATAAAAAATGAAAACAAACGAATCAGAATCCATGATAACAAATTATATCGAATCTATAGACAAAGAATCAGAAACCTCTAGTGAAGAAACTACAAATGATGAAATCGTACCCTTATCAGATAATACTAATCAAACACTAAGTAATGTTTCCACCTCCTCCACAAATAATCGAGCACCTGTTAGAGATTACCTTTTATCAATTCCTGATGGAGGTAAAGATGTAAATTATGTAAACAAACGTTTGGCAACCTGACTACAATATCGACTATTAATTAGCATTTTCAAAACTTCTATCCTGCAGAGTTTACTAAAATTAAACAGCGTAAACTTCGACAACTTGACCCTTATGGCCCAAATGACAAATATAAAATAGATACAATAAATAATAAACTTTTAAAATGGGTAGTCGTTGACCAACAGTCATTTTTGTTGGCCGAAAATACTGAATTTATTAATTTTTTACACGAACTTAATCTGAGATACAAACCCTATGTCGCCAAACAATCTTAACTTGGGTCAGTCAAGAGTATATTAATAGTAAAAATAAAATTATCACTTTTTTTAATAACGTTTCATCAAAAATTTCAATTACTATAGATGGCTGGATGTCCTGCACACAACAACTTTACCTTGGTGTAACTGCTCATTGGGTAGATCCTGAGTAGAAAATGTATTACATTTTATTAGACATTATTCCTTTCAATCAAGCACACACTGCGGTCAACCAAACTGATGCGATAATTGAACTTTTAACAAAAATGAATATAGGCCATAAGCTCATAGGAGTAACAACAGACAATGCTTCCAATATGATTGCTATTGGTCGTGTTCTAAAAGAAAGAATGCATAATGAATTTAGTAATATTAATGTGCAGCATTTTCGCTGTGGCGCACATATTCTAAATATCATTGTTGAAGAAGGAATTAAGTCAGTCAGTAAAGAAATTTCTAAAGCACAGGAGTTTTCTATTAGGCTTTGAAACTCTCTATCACTAATCAGAGAATTAAAACAAATATTTGAAATAAAAAATCAACCATTTTTAATGCCTCAAGCTGATGTAGATACCAGATGGAATAGCATATATATTTTATTAGAAAAACTTCAACTAATTCGCCCTATGACCGATATTCTTGTTGTAAGCAACCAAATGTTAAAACTGAATTATCTTGATGAACAAGAATAGGAAATTATTATGGTTAGTTAAATAATTTTCTATTGTTTTAAAAGATTTTAATACTATTATTGCAAATTACAGGACCTGTTAGCTCTTCTTGAACCTATGTATCATGCAACCGTAATGCTGTCTTCGCCAACACTTCCAACCCAAGATGACTTGCGCTTGATATTCCGTGGTCTTATTATACATTTAAATAATAATGAAAACCTAGTGATCAATACACAACATGCTGTAGCTAATGCGATGAAAGTAAAATTTATGTCATATTGGGCTCACCTAAATGAATCGTCAGCAATTTTAGGCCTTCTTGACCCCCATAATAAACTTTCTACCTATGATATTACTGAATGTGAACAAACTATTAATAAACTCCATGAAGTGTACCAAATATACAAACTACCTGAAGAAAAAAAACTATTACCACCTACCACTGCTACTAAATCAACACAAAGGTTTTTTCGAAATCTCACAAAGTGCCATCAATCTAACCTAAATCGGTATGAAATTGAGAAATACTTCTCTGAGCCAGAGACTGAAGCAGATCCACTTCCTTGGTGGAAGGCAAACTCAAATCAATTCCCAGTACTTGCACGCATTGCAATGGACATTCTTGCAGTTCAGTCTACGAGCGTACCAAGTGAGCAAGCCTTCTTTATTGCAAGGAACACAATCAGTCTTACCCGAAATCGAATAAATCCCGAAGTCACACATGCATCCTTATGCTTGAAAAGCTGGTTCACGGAATTAGGTGATATGTTAAAAGAGGTAAGTGAACTGGGTCTCTAAAAAATCAAGATAAATTAGCAGTTTTTTTGGTCTTATATATATATTTTTTTTATATGAAAAATTTTTTTATATAAAAATTTTTTTTTTATATATATATAAATTTTCGTTTTATATATATAATTTTTTTTTTTTATATAAATTTTAGTTTTTTATATAAATTTTCTTTTTCTTTATCTTGTAATAAAAACTTTGTCGCTTTTTAATAAAATTTTTTTTTGTTTAACGAA